CCCCAAAACCCCAAAACCCCAAAACCCCAAAACCCCAAAAGAAGTTAGATTTATTGAATATGAATAGTTAGACTATTGTATTTAGTATCCTAGGTTGACAGCAAGCAAGAGTTGCTCCGGTGCATGATAAGACTAATGTCTTGAGAGACTTAGACATTACCTTCTCGAAGAGACTCATGCACATATTATCCAACCCTAATTGCTAAGTATCAATCTAGTTTTGTTAGCTGGTTCCTTATCTTTCCAAAGCAGATGGTTTTGACAATAATTCACTAATTTTCATAATGAGGCTCTTGTCAAGATTATGCATCTGAACAATCTCAGCTGCTTTGGAGTAGAGATTATCTCCTTCTTTGACTTTAACAACAATGGAGCTCTGGCCATCAAAGTTGAGTCTGACCTTATATAGGAGGTTCCCTGTTCGTTCTAAAGAATTATATGGGCAAGTTACTTTGCTTTGAGCTGCTTCTTTTCTTACTCTTTGAGGAATCAATTAATTTCCCATTAGAATGATGGGCTAAAGAACCTCTCCTGCTGAGAGTTTCAGATGATTTAGGAGAAAATCCTTCAAATTCTATCTTTTCATCAAGCTGGAGCTGAGGAGTTTTGGCATAATTGATGTTGTTTTGGTACACAGGTTGTTGTACATACAAATCCTGCCCTCTGAAATGAGGAGACATCATCTGTGTATTTGGGTTCTCATTCTCAGTCTCATTTCTGTTAATCTCACCAAATCTTGTAGGAACATTTGGGCTTTCAGAAAATTCATGATTTTGATCGGGAATATTGAAGAAATTATTTCCATTAATTGCTTCAGATTCTTCAGAAGCGGACTGTAAGTTGTTAGAGTCTTCTTCCATTTCAGCAGCGTGGTAGACTTTCTTCTGCGAATCAAGTTTAGCTTTTTGAGATATGACCTGGCTTATCCTTGCAATTATAGTTTCTTTATGTTTCTGAGGGACAGAATAAGAATGCATAAAGTTCTCAGCTACTTTCTCAGGATCACAGCCTTCCCTGACTGCAATGTTACCCGTCCTTGTAGGACCTAGCATAACTTTAACCTGCCCAATAATGGGATGTTCCTTCTTCAATATTTCCTTCTCTTGGGGTCTATTTTTCAGTCTTGAGATCAAAAGGTTTCTTTTTGTCAAGGGCTTGCTTCTTCTTGAGTTCCATTTTCTTGAGGTTTTCCTTAAGAGCCCTCTGTTCCTCCTTTTCGACTTCTTCTTTGAGATGCTGGATTGCTAAAGATTTAATGTCAAAGTTTACAGCTGTTGATCTCATTTTGGATATACGTAGCTAATTTCTTATTTCAGCTCTATTATAGTCTTGTTCTTCACTGTTAGAGTGGTCTAAGCTTGAGATTAGGCAAACTTACCTTCATCTTGTTAAGATACTGGGAGATTCATCTGTCAGCGATGGAGAAGGCAGTATCTCCTTTGTATACATTGAGCACTTGGATTGAATCTTCTTTGAGTTTTACAGTAATCTTGAGGAGAATTTCTCCCTCTATAACTGGCTTGTACACCTTGGTTAGAGATATTGGGGATTTCTTTGCTCTTGAGCTCATATTTCCTTTCGATTTGAATCCTCTTTCTTGACTCTTCCTGAGATTAGCCTGTCTTGACTCTGTTCTGATGTCAATCAAAGACTTGCTGGAGAAATCCTCCTCAGCATCTAAGAAGGATTTGGAGTAGTTGTAGTGCTGGTCTCTGTGCGTATTTATATCAGAAATTGTATGAGCACTAGAGTCTACTCCTCGATTCCTGGATCGTCCTTTCTGCTGAGAGAATTGCATTCTTCGCTTTGCAATTGAATTATTGTTTTGGTCAGCTTCCTTAATCGAATCCTCAATTTTCTTGATTTCTTGATCGATGTTGTCAAGAGAAGAATTGTCATGCAAATGAGGAGGAGTGTAAATCTCTGATTTCTGGAAATAACTAGCTGGTGGTTGCCTGACTCTATCCTCCTGGCTGACATCTTCTGAAGGTGCCTGGTATTCAACCTGGTCAATATCCTGCTCTTCTTGTTCCTCTTGTTCAAACTCTTTCTGGGCATATGCATCATAATCAAGGTCTAAATCCTCAAGATCATGGAGTTCTTGGCTTGGGCTATCTTCATGAATCTCTGGAGCATTATTTGAGAAACTAATATTGTTGTCTAACTTTCTCTTCTCAATCAGATTACTGTAGCTTTGGGCAGTCCCCTTGGACTCGGGATGGGTTGATCTATCTTGCTCCTCATTGATTAGTTTGAACTGCTTTATAAAGTGGTTGTAATTGTCTACATCATCTCTCTTGTGAAAATCATCTGGTGTGAACCTCCCCTTCTTTGAAAACCCACTGCTATTCCTCCGAGGAGTTATACCAATGTTTGCAGTAGATTTACTTTGGTTTATTTTTATATTGTTCTCTAAGGGGAAATGAAACTCTTGCTGAAAATCATGAATGTTATAGTAATCACTAGAAGTTATTTAGAACCTTACCTTCCGGGATTGGACCTCCCATCTTCTTGGAAAGAGTCTCCATTATCTCCAAAGTTGCCAGTCCTAAGCTTCTTTGACTCTTGGCTAGGAAGATTATAATGGTCAAGCTCAGAGTTACTGATCTCTTCTGAGTTTTTGTTGTTGGAATACATTCTTTCTACAAGTCTTTTCTCATAATCGCTACCGTTAGTAGCTGAATACAAACTCTCATCGATTTTATCAAATTCAGAGTCTCTAGGAGGAAGTTGAGGAGCTTCCTTCTCACCTTTAAGGAACTGAAAGACACCATTCTTTATCATTTTAATGACCATAGTGAGATTTTTATTTTGTCACAACTGAGATTTCTGAGAAAGCCATTCCTCACTCATCTGCAAAATTCTTGGCCTCTTCAAACTCTACCTGCCTGTTCTCCATTTGCTTGTCAACTTTGTTACCGATGAGATAAGTAAAACCATGATTCATGATCTTGGATCTGTTAATCTGCTCTTGAAGACACAGAAAACTCTGAGAATTTGAGATATCGTACATGTATATATTGAGGCCTTGATGGTTGGATACCTCTCCAAAGCAGTAGGACTCCATAGACTTGTCCTCGTCCTCCCACCTTGGCTTATCTTTAGACCTATTCTCAGTCCCATGGATTCCTTTAGCGATCAAATTATTTGGCATAAAGAAGAGATTGTACTCCTTTTCAGTCTGGGGATGAGCGAAGCTCATTACTGGAACATTCGAACTGGTCCTCTTGTTCTCAGTGATGGCGTTTATTAGGCTTCGCTTTCCCACACCTTTGATGCCTGTGACTATTACAGAATATGTTGAGCCTTCTTCAGGGTTCATTACGTTCAAATTTAAATTTATAACTCCTCAATTTAGTTTTTAAAATATGGGGTTTTGGGGTTTTGGGGTTTTGGGG